GATCGCCGGAGCCCAGCAGGACAGGCTGCAGTGGCCAAGAGCGGCCACTGTACTCCAGTCTGGGCGACCAAGTGAGACTCCAACTCAAAAAATAAAAAAAAAGATTGGTGAATTTGACCACATACTGTTTTTTTTTTTTCAATGAAGACACTGTCGCTGTATGGTTTATTGCTTTATAGTCTATAACATAATGTAAGACACATACATTATTTGTTCCAATAATATTATTCCCCATAATAGTTTAATTTTAAAATTAAAACAATCTCTTCAGTTTAGCAAGAAAGTTTTTTTATAATTTTGTCTTAACTTTTATTTGAATGTATTTGAAGTTTCAAAGATCACAAGTATGTTTAAATTAATGATATAGACCGGGCTCAGTGGCTCAGCCTGTAATCCCAGCACTTTGGGAGGCTAAGGTGAGTGGATTGCCTGAGCCCGCGGGTTTGAGACCTGCCTGGGCAACTTGGTGAGACCTCATCTCTACAGTAAATCAAAAAATCAGCCGGGAGTGATAGCGCATGCCTCTAATTGCGGCTACTCGGAAGGCTGAGGCGGAATGATTGCGGGAGCCCAGCAGGTCGAGGCTGCGGTGGCCGGGAGTGGCCACTGCACTCCAGTCTGGGCGACTGAGTAAGACTCCGACTCAAAAAAAAAAATTAATGATATATATATTTTTTCTGAAAAAGGTATAGTTAGTAGAAGATATTCTGCCCATATTAAATCTTTCTTACGTATCATCCTAATGTGGTATTAACATGCTCATTTTAGATTTCAGTATCTGAAATGAAAATGGCCTCTAGCTGAACATTTGTCTACTGTATGAAGAAGTAGGTCCCTCTGCCTCACAGCTTCTTCTAGTCACTTTATTAATTTACCAGAATGTCAGGTATTATGAAGTTCAGCAAACTATATCATTCCTGCCCTTGATTGAGCTTATTGCTTTTCTTCTTTCTTTCCAGGTATCTGGCATAATTTTGTCCTTGCACTCCTGGGTATTTTAGCTCTTGTTCTCCTCCCAGTAATTCTCTTGCCATTTTACTACACTGGAGTCGGGGTGCTTATTACCGAAGTTGCTGAGGTAAATAATGAATTACTTGGAACATTCTTTCGTCAAATATTGTGATATAATCCTTAACATTTTAATGTCAGGAACTTTTATTCAGGATCTCTTCATGTACTTAGAATGCTCAGTTTCTTCTGTAATCCTTTCAAATCTAACACATAATGTGAAACACATTGGCTTTTTAAAAATATCATGAAAATTGGTCAGTGCTGTGGCTCACACCTATAATCCCAATACTTTCAGAGGCCAAGGCAAGATCACTTGAGTCCAAGAGTTCAAGACCAGCCTGCACAGCATAGTGAGACCTTATCTTTACAAAAAAAAAATTTTTTAAATTAACCAGGTGTGGTGGCACACACCTGTAGTCCCAGCTACTTGGGAGGTTGAGGCGGAAGAATCTCCTGAGCTCAGGAGTTTGAGCATGTAGTGAGCCGTGATCCTGCCACTGCATTCCAGCCTGGGTAACAGAGCAAGACACTGACTCAAAAAAAAAAAAATCATGAAAAATGTTTTCTGAATAGTATCGAGATTCTCTACCTGTAGTTTGGTTGATAAGATGCATCATTTGTCTGTACTGTTTATTTTTATATCTGTGCTTTTGAGTCAAATGTCTTTACTCCTAAGAAGTAAGAAGGATGAGACCTAGGCTACCCAACCAGAACATTTTATAGGAGTTTAGATTGACGTCTTCAACTCTGTATTTTATTCCCTAAAACAGTAATTGCTATGATGGCATCAAATGTTCTATTCAAATTGCTCGCAAAGATTACCTTTGTGAGCAATTGGCTTACATATTCATTGTATGGATGGCATTGTCTGGATATCTGGGACTTGTCTTATAGTTTTATCCACTGAGGATAGAGGAAAGGGAAGCAGTATGACGATTACTTTCACAAAAAGTTTGAATTAGTAGTTTGGGAGAAAACTTTATCATTTTAATCTTAACAATGAGCAAGTCGATTTTTTTTTTAATTGTGAGAAATTCAAAATCTTGGGAACTTAAAAAAAGCAACTATAATTGCTGGATTTTATTTTGTTAATTTTCTAGGACTATATGTCTTAAATTTAAAGGTGGATTATTTTTCTGCATTAAGAATATCCAGCTGGGCTCGGTGGCTCAGCCTGTAATCCCGCACCTTGGGAGGCTGAGGTGAGTGGATTTCCTGAGTCCGCGGGTTCAAGACCCGCCTGGGCAACTTGGTGAGACCTCATCTCTACAATAAATAAAAAATTAGCTGGGCATGGTAGCACGCACCTGTAATTCCGGCTACTCGGAAGGCTGAGGCGGAAGGATCGCCGGAGCGCAGCAGGTGGAGGCTGCAGTGGCTGGGAGTGGTCACTGCACTCCAGTCTGGGCAACAGAGTGAGACTCCAACTCCAAAAAAAAAAAAAAAAAGAATATCCTACGTAATTAACTCTGTGTCTTTAACTATTACTCACTCAGATTAATCATAGCTTGTATTCATGCATTGTCTGATTTGATTTTGCCCTCTTCCCAAGGACTCGCCTGCCATTGGACCCAGAGGCCTTTTTGTAGGAGACCTTGTCACCCATCTACAGGATTGTCCTGTTACTAATGTGCAAGATTGGAATGAATGTCTCGATACCATCGCCTATGAGCCTCAAATTGGTTACTGTATAAGTGCATCAACTTTGCAGCAGTTAAGTTTCCCAGTTAGAGGTGTGTATATTTCCTCAATATAATAGAATGCTTCAAGCAGCAGTACCTGCCATATACTAATCCTTAGACCATGTTTATAGATTTATTTTGTTCTAATCTTTTTGAAGCAAGCCAGTAAAGTAAATAGGTCCAAACAAATGACATTCTTGGTAAAGCAGATACTAATATTTATGTTCACTTTGTTATGTATTGTTATTGAACTTCTAACCACTTTCATAATACCATATTTGGCTTTTAAGACTCTCAGTTAAGAATTCAAAAGAGGGCCTGGCTCGGTGGCTCAGCCTGTAATCCCAGCACTTTGGGAGGCCGAGGTGAGTGGATTGCCTGAGCCCGTGGGTTCGAGACCCATCTGGGCAACTTGGTGAGACCTCATCTCTACAATAAATCAAAAATTAGCCGGGCATGGTAGCGCGCCCCTGTAGTTCCAGCTACTTGGAAGGCTGAGGCGGAAGGATCGCTGGAGCCCAGCAGGTCAAGGCTGTGGTGGCCAGGAGCGGCCACTGCACTCCAGTCTGGGTGACAGAGTGAGACTCCAACTCAAAAAAAAAAGAAAAAAACAATTTAAAAGAGTATATTAAATTACCATTCACCAGGTGTGGTGGCTCACACCTATAATCCTAGCACTTTGGAAGGCTAAGGTGAGAGGATTGTCTGAGCCCATAGGTTCGACATCAGCCTGGGCAACTTGGTAAGACCTCATCTCTACAATAAGTAAAAAAATTAGCCGGGCACGGTGGCACATGCTTGTAGTTCCAGCTACTTGGAAGACTGAGGCGGAAGGATTGCCTGAGCCCAGTAGATCAAGGCTGTGGTGACTGTCAGCATGCTACTACACTCCAGCCTGGGCATCAGAGTGAGACTCCAACTCAAAAAAATAAAAATTATCATTCAAGGCCAGGCTTAATGACTCAGCCTGTGATCCCAGCACTTTGGGAGGAAGCGAGTGGATTTCCTGAACTCACGGGTTCCAGACCAGCCCGGGCAACTTGGCAAGACCTTGTCTCTACAATGCATAAAAAATTAGCTGGGTGTAGAAGCGCGTGCCTGTAGTTCCAGCTACTTGGAAGGCTGAGGTGGAAGGCTCACCTGAGCCCAGCCAGGTTGAGGCTGTGGTGGCCATGAGCGTGCCACTGCACTCCAGCCTGGGCGACAGAGTGAGACTCCCAACTCAAAAAAAAAAAAATTATCATTCAAGCTCAACCATAGCAATTAATTAAATTCCAATATTAAATACCCCTAATATAATATTTTTATGAATGGTGTAGATATGTAATAGTATCTTGATTTATACTTCTATAATTTAAAGTTAAGCACTTATATTATCAAACATGTTGTATCAATAGTGATAATAAATTCCTAACTTCCAATTCTGAATTGTACACAATCTTCCAAGAAAAGTTAGTGATTAAGCATCAGTTGTAATTTTTTTTTTTTTTTTGAGTTGGAATCTCACTCTGTCGTCCAGACTCTGGAGTGCAGTGGCCGCTCCCGGCCACCACAGCCTCGACCTGCTAGGCTCCGACGATACTTCTGCCTCAGCCTTCCGAGTAGCTGGAACTACAGGCGCGTGCTACCACGCCCAGCTAATTTTTTGGTATATTGTAGAGATGAGGTCTCGCCAAGTTGCCCAGGCAGGTCTCGAACCCGCAGGCTCAGGCAATCCACTCACCTCAGCCTCCCAAAGGCGCAGGATTATAGGCTGAGCCACCGAGCCCGGCTGTAAATTTTTTTTAATTATTACTGATACAAAGGTAAGTGGTATAGAACATCACTTATATATTCAGTGTATATTTAGTAATCCACCTTATACAAAACACAAAGAAACCTTTCCCTCAAGGAGTTCACAGTCTAGTTAAAGAAATAATACAATACAGGTTAAAAGTATGTAATGACAGGTGATATTAGAAAATTATGGCAGTCAGTCTTGACCAAGAAAATGAAGGCAGTTTTCACAGCAGCAACCCTTGAACTGGGCCTCAACAGTGAGTTTTATTTTAGGAGGCCAAGATGGGAATGAACCTCATGGAACAGAAGGTGTTCAGAGAACTACTAGTAATTCAGTTTAGCAAGAGAATCATATGAGATAAGGTGGTAAAAAAAAAAGTAGAAATCTTTCAGTTTTAGGCTACGGAGTTGAGACTGTTTGGTAACATTGCAGAGTCTGGACATTTTGGAATAGAGAAATTATATTCTCGGAGTTACACATTGGAAAAGTAATCTGAAGCATTTAGTATTTGGAACATGTTTGTGTAAAGCTAGGTGGGGAGCAAACAGACTTGTTAGGGGTTTGTTCAAATGGGTCAGGTGAGAAAGAATTAGTCTGTACACCAGTGGGAATAGATAAGGAGAAATAATGAGGTAAAAATTGGTGAGACTTGGCAACTGATCAGAGACAACACTGTGATCAGGGTTTTAGCCTGGGCTGATTTTTCAAATTTTTAATTCCTAAACAACTTTTTACCTTATACTTTCAGTTAGGGCTGACAAGTGATTATTGGCGGGAGTTTGTGCCATTAGATGTTCATAATTTGCTTTAATACTTTAAATATTGTTTGTCACCCAAAGTTAAATCCCCATTTAGTTATGGTAAGAGAAAACAAAACAAAGCTACCCACACAGCCAGCTAACACAAAGGAAAAATCGACTGTCAGTTAGTTTGCTTTGTCTCTGTCTGCTTCTTCATTATATATAGGCCAAGGAGAGAGAGCAATAGTGTGTGGCTAGGGGAGGTCTAGTATAATTGGTATAAGAAATCTTCTTCCAATAATCTAGTAAAACAAAACAAAAAATTATTTTAAAAAGCACAAATTTTTGGCTGAAATAGGAAATTCTTTTAAAATTAAATTGCATATCAACTGATATTTTCATGCTAAGTCTTCCTAAAGACGTTCTTGTAATAGAAAAGCTTTTGGAGGTTACGGTGGCCGTGAGTGTGCCACTGCAGCCCGGGTGACAAGAGTGAGACTCCAACTAAAAAAGCTTTATTAGTACTGAAAAACAGGGATAACTTTGCTCTTGAGTCTTTAATTGATACTTACCACCCATCCATTTATGCTTTACCAGTTTGATGTTTTGAATGTAGAAAATCTTCAAAAATAAATACATGAAATCATTTTTTATCCAACCAGTATCTGTGATTTAGCTTTCTTTCTTATTTATTTATTTATTTATTTATTTATTTATTTATTATTCAGCCCCAGGTACAAGTAAAGTAGTCTACTAAAGAACTTTAAAAAATAAATAATAGCCGGGTGATTTAGCTTTCTTATTTATTTATTTATTTATTTATTTATTTATTTATTTATTTATATATTTATTTATTATTCAGCCCCAGGTACAAGTAAAGTAGTCTACTAAAGAACTTTAAAAAATAAATAATAACCGGGCTCGGTGGCTCAGCCTGTAATTCCGCGCCTTGGGAGGTTGAGGTGAATGGGTTGCCTGAGCCTGTGGGTTCGAGACCCACCTGGGCAACTTGGTGAGACCTCATCTCTACAATAAATCAAAAAATTGTACACCTAACCCTTAACTGTACCCCACAAAACCATAATAAAAAATATTGATTAATAAAAATAAATAAATAAAAATAAATCAAAAAATTAGCCGGATGTGGTAGCACGCACCTGTAGTTCCAGCTACTTGGAAGGCTGAGGCAGAAGGATCGCCGGAGCCCAGCAGGTCGAGGCTGTGGTGGCCGGGAGCGGCCACTGCACTCCAGTCTGGGTGACAGAGTGAGACTCCAACTCAAAAAATAAATAAATAAATAAATAATAGAAGGCCAGGCGGAGTGGCTCACGCCTATAATCCCAGCACTTTGGGAGGCCAAGGTGAGAGGATTGCCTGAACCTGTGGGTTTGTGACCAGCCTGGGCAACTTGGCAAGACCTCATCTCTACAATAAATTTTTTAAAAAATTAGCCAAGCATGGTGGCCCATGCCTGTAGTTCCAGCTACTTGGAAGGCTGAGGCGGAAGGATCACCTGAGCCCAGCAGGTTGAGGCTGCGGTGGCCGGGAGAATGCCACTGCCCTCCAGCCTGGGTGGCAGAGTGAGACTCCCACTCAAATAAATAAATAAATAGTAGGAATTAAACAATGGTCCCATTTCTTTTGTCTTTCAAAAATGGTAACTGGATTACTGGTATGTGGACAGATATGTGTACCTCTCTTGGTCAAATTGGGCTTCCCTGGTTCTGTAGGAAAAGACTCAAGGTGAGCCTGGAGGTTAAATTGGTATTTGGACATAATGGAGATGTCTTAGGCATCCTTTGGCGTCCTCTGTTTGGTAGCCCCACAGTGCAGCAGTTCAGAAGTAATACTGGACCAGTGACATTAGGGCACAAAATAGTGACTCATTAAATGTTTGTGCTTGAGCAGCTAGAGTTATTATTGTGAAACCTACCAAGACACTGGAACTCTAGCATTTATATGAGGTCAACTAACCTAAGATAAGTGCTTCTTCTTGATTTCAAATTGGGAGGATCTCATTTTGTAATGTAAAATCAAACTGCAGCAAGTAGCCTGCAAAGTGAACTCTGAATTGTACAGTTGCTTCTAAATTCATGTGCTTTTTTTGTCTTAAGAGCAAATTTTTTATTAAAATGTACCTTTAGGTAACAAATTCTAATAAACACTGTGTTACTCTTTAGCATACAAACGACTAGATGGTTCGACTGAATGCTGTAACAATCATAGCCTCACAGATGTGTGCTTCTCCTACAGAAATAATTTTAATAAGCGTTTGGTAAGTTATCCCTGAGGCAGTCTCGCTTGTCTGATATAATTACTACAAAATAAGCATATAGAGCTAAAATGGAGTCTATGAGAACTTTTCCCTTTTGCTCTATTTATTTTCCATCATTTTATTAAAATCTCTACATTTCAGATGTCACATTGCATCTGAGACTCTTTAAAAATTTATAGTGTTAATATCTTATTTGGCCAAGGTGGGATACTAGTATTTACTATTTACTGGTAGATACACACAAATGGCATTTCTTTTATATGAACTTCATTCCTAATATACTAGGTGACATGAAAAATATTGAAGGAATGTAACTTGGGTGTTTCTTTTTAATATTTAATAATTAATATTTTATATATAGCATACCTGTCTACCTGCCCGGAAAGCGGTTGAAGCCACTCAAGTTTGTAGATCCAATAAAGATTGTAAGAAAAGCTCGAGCTCAAGTTTCTGTATAATACCTTCTCTGGAAACTCATACTCGCTTAATAAAAGTGAAACACCCGCCACAAATTGATATGTTGTACGTAGGACATCCTCTGCATCTTCACTACACCGGTGAGTATTATCACGGTAGACCCTCAGAAAAATCATTAAGATCATATATATTTCTCAATGGTAGAAACTCAGTACAAATCCTTGCATTAATTGTATTTATTATATATTTAATCACTTATCAAAGTCTTGTTAATTTGTTCTTGAACATTATATGAATTTAGGCAGTAGGAAGATAATCTGAATTTATCAAGTAAGATGGAGCCAAATCCTATGCCTGCCTGTGGAAAGTGACATATTTTTTCCTTCTCTACTCTTTATGCCTGAGTCAAGTGGGTAAGCTCTCAAATGTTCTCTGAGAGTTTATTAAATTTATCCAAGCTTCCCAAAATAATGGCAAGAGTAGCATCCCCTAGAGAATGCCAGTTTACATGGGACTGTGACTGTAATTTATGCATCACACATGAATTTTATATGAATATAATTTCAAAACTGAACCAGCACAGTCATTCTAACTCATTTTGTTGTACAAGTTTTTGTAACAGTTTACCATTCAATTCACCCATTAAAGTGTACAATTCTATGTGCAGCCATCACTACAATATAGTTCTAGAACATTTTCATCACCCCAAAAAGAAACCCCATACCCATTAAACAGTCACTTTCCCCATCTCCCAACATCTCTCACCCTTTGGTAACCACTAATCTACTTCCTGTTTCTATAAATTTGCCTGTTTTGGACATTTCATATAAATGGAATATTTTGTAACTGCTTTATTTTATGTAGCATAATATTTTCAAAGTTCATCCATGTTGTAGCATAAATCAGTACTTCATTCTTTTTAAAGTCAATTAATATTCCATTGTATGGATAGACCAAATTTTCTTTATTCATTGATCAGTAAATAGATATGTGGGTTTTATATTACTCTTTTTTTTTTTGGAGTTGGAGTATTACTGTCACCCAGGCTAGAGTGCAGTGGCACAGTCACAACCACCGCAGCCTCAATCTGCTGGGCTCAGGCGATTCTTCTGCCTTAGTCTTCCAAGTAGCTGGAACCACAGGCACATGCCACCATACCCGGCTAATTTTTTTTTTTTTTTAATTGTAGAGACAAGGTTGCCCAGGCTGGTCTCGAACCCGTGTGCTCAAGCAGTCCTCTTGTCTCCACCTCCCAAAGTGCTGGGCCACCGCACCTGGCCCAGCACCTGGCTTATATTACTCTTTAAAAGTCTCTCTTATTGCTCTGTGGCCAGATCTTGAGATATAACCTGGGTCATTTATTTATTTATTTATTTGACACTAAGTGACTCTAAACAGCAACTATCAAATAAAACTTCAACAAATGAAGAAATGTCCCCAGTTGGGATAATTCAAAGACATGTTGTTGAGTTCTGCCTAATTACAGGATAGGTTTTGTTTTGTTTTGTTTTGTTTTTTTGTTTTTTTTTTATGTCAGAGTCTCGCTGACACCCAGGCTGGAGTGCAGTGGCACGCTCAAGGCCACCGCAGCCTTGACCTGCTGGGCTCAGGTGATCCTTCCACCCCAGCCTTGCAAGTAGCTGGAACCACAGGCATGTGCCACCACGCCTGGCTAATTTTTTGATTTATTGTAGAGATTAGGTCCCTCCAAGTTGCCCAAGCTGGTCTGGAACCCAAGGGCTCAGGCAATCTTCTCACCTCAGCCTCCCAAAGTACTGGGATTATAGGCGTAAGCCACCACACCCAGCTCCAGGATAGTTTTTAAATGTTTTGAACAAAAACAGGATTATGGAATCCATAGGGTAGAAGATATTTGAAAGTATCTTAACCACTCTAGCATAATAGTAGTATACTAGTTGGAGTAAATGTGATTTTAAGGTTATACATCTCCAAGAAACTAAGGATGCTTTAGATGTAAATTATATTTTCTTAAGTCAGTTTCTGAATTTGGTTGTTATACTTGGTATATAGTCAGCTTTATCTTACTCTCACCTGAAAATATAAGCACACACTGGGAAATCAATTTTTTCATTTCACTAATGTTAGTAGATATTCTATAAGATCAATTGCTTTTATATGTGAGGCATATAGCCTGCCTACATGTTTAGGAAGGGCTTTCTCAATCAATTTAATCAGTTAACCCAATTTTTGACCATAAAGTAAAAGTCCCAATGCTGTTGCTTATCCGGTATAAATAATATTCTTTATTCTTTTTTTGGTTTTAGTGAGCATCACCAGTTTTATTCCACGTTTCAACTTTCTAAGCATAGATCTGCCAGTGATTGTGGAGACATTTGTCAAGTATCCTTTCTGATGTTAAAAATATTTAAAAGTGTGTTATTTACAGCTTCCTCAGTTTTACCTTGAATAGAGCATTACAAGTATAGACCTCACAAGTAACACGTAAGTGCTAATAACTAAAAGAGAGATTTTTTTTTTGAGTCAAAGTCTCACTCTGTTGCCCAGGCTGGAGTGCTGTGGCATGCTCACAGCCACTGCAGCCTCAACCTGCTTGGCTCAAGCGATCCTTCTGCCTCAGCCTTCCAAGTAACTGGAACTACAGGCAAGTGCCACCATGCCCGGTTAATTTTTTTATTTATTGTAGAGATGAGGTCTCTCCAAGTTACCTAGGCTGGTCTTGAACCCGTGGGCTCAGGCAATCCTCTCACCTCGGCCTCCTAACGTGCTGGGCTTATAGGCTTGAGCCACTGCACCTGGCCTAAAAGAGAAATTTTTTTTTTTTTTTTTTTTGAGAGCTGGAGTCTCACTCTGTCACCCAGACTGGAGTGCAGTGGCTGCTCCCGGCCACCACAGCCTCTACCTGCTGGGCTCCAGCGATCCTTCCACCTCAGCCTTCCGAGTAGCCGGAATTATAGGTGCGCGCTACCACGCCCGGCTAATTTTTTTTTTTATTGTAGAGATGAGGTCTCGCCTGCCCAGGCGGGTCTCGAACCGCGGGCTCAGGCAGTCCACTCACCTCAGCCTCCCAAAGGTGCAAGATTACAGGCTGAGCCACCGAGCCCGGCGAACAATTACTTTAAAAAGTATGTAATCAAGATTCTATTTTGTAGACTCTGCAACTTTGTCTCAAAGAGACTTATGCTATAACTTTATAGATGATTATAGATGATAGTTGGTTCAGGGGCCAAAATCCTTGTTTCCTCTTATAAAATAATGTTGTGTAAAGATCAGAAAGTAATTTATTTCTTTTTTTTTTTTTTTTTTTTTTTTTTTGAGTTGGCATCTCACTGTCACCTGGGCTGAAGTGCGGTGGCACGCTCACAGTGACCACAGCTCCACCTGCTGGGCTCAGGTGATCCTTCCACCTCTGCCTTCCAAGTAGCGGGAACTAACATGCCTGGCTAATTTTGATTTATTGTAGAGATGAGGTCTCACCAAGTTGCCCAGGCTGGTGTCGAACCCATGGGCTCAGGCAGTCCACTCGGCCTCCCAATGTGCTGGGATTACAGCCTGAGCCACCGAGCCCGCCTAATAATTTATTTCTCATTTTTTATTCCTTCCACATTTCTTTTCCTTGTTGTATCATTAAAGGATTAAAAAGACTTAGTCTTCCTAGGAGTTCATTATAGATTGGCTTAGTTTACAAGTGGTCGGTCTTTATTTTTCTACTCAAGATTTTGAACTTCTAAGTAATATAAATTCATTTTGTTTTAAAGAGTAGAGATGTAATAAGGTATGGCAGAGATTTAAAGAAAGTAGAGAAGTCACCTGCAATCTCAAATTTAGTCATACTAAAATGCCTTATTCTAACTCACAGAAATGTAGTTTCCACCCAGACCTCATAGTTGGCACCTTAACTGATTTTAACTCAGGTATCTGATTTCCCTATCAGGAGCTCTGGCCATCGTTAATGCAGTGCCCTGCTTTGCTTTGGACGGACAGTGGATTTTAAATTCTTTCCTGGATGCCACCCTTACCTCAGTGATTGGAGACAATGATGTCAAAGATCTGATAGGATTTTTCATCTTGCTTGGTGGCAGTGTACTTTTGGCTGCCAATGTGACCCTGGGACTTTGGATGGTTACAGCACGGTAATGTTTGCACTCATCTGAGAGAATCTCTGAGTTACAGTATACAGCTGTGTGGTAATATCCATTGCCATTGAAATTCTTACTTGGTGTGAAATGTAAAGTGTTTCCTTAAAATTACATCTTAGCCAACAACTTTGAGCTCCTCCTATACCCAGAGTACCCATACTCTGTGATAGGTGATAAGTGGAAGAAATGAAAGGCATAGTCCCTGACTGCATTCCAGTTTGAAAGACTGGATGTACACAGATGCTTATGGAACAATTTCTAAACAAGTGCAAATTCATGTAATACCATTTTGTGTGACTATATATCTTGTTGAAATAGTATAAAGACAAACAGCACTGGGTGGAATTAATCAGTAAAAACTTCTTGCAAAAGCATTATTAATCAAGATTTGAAGGAGACCAGACTTTGGCCAAGTGAAAGGGTGACTGTTTTCTTGGCCTTTATCTCTTGTCCTATGTCTTGTTTGAATAGTATTTTTAAATTTAATGGTGTCTTATTTTGTACTCTGAAAACTGAGGTCTGATTATAATTATATTAATAAAATTCTGTAAAATAATCTGCTGACAGGAAAGGGAAAAATCTTTGTCAAATGATGCCAAATAAATGAATAAAGTAGGAAGTAGGACCTATGATATTATGAGACATATTTTGCCCCAAAGGAGTTACCTCTAATAAGTGTCTCGGCCCACTCACAAAGCACTAGCCTTGACATGTAGAGTGAGCTGCAGAAGTGTCTCACACCAGCAGCATATGTACTAAGGCAGTTAGGGTTGAATCTCAGAACTAAGCTGGGTCTTCTGACAGATCACAAGACAGACCACACGATCTTCAGCAGTCCTGCTTACCATTCTCTATAGAGCTTTGGAGCCTGGAACCCTTCCTGGGTAGACATTTTCTCTTATGCTGCTGAGGCCATCTGGGGCCTAGCTCCTGGGTTCCTGTTTTCAAGAATAAATGACCTTAAGCCCTGAGCCATACTCTGTCCTCACCAGCGGCTCCCATGTTTCTCTGTGTCAGGTGATTAAATATCTAGTCCTTGCTTTCCATTTCTTCCCTAAGCTACCTCTGTGGGTCCACCGAAGATTTGCTAGTACAGAGAGAATGGCTACACATGAGTACGAATGTGGATTTGCCAGAGCCTGGGACCTTACTCATGAGCCCAAAAGAACCACACATGGTTTGAGTTCTTTTGGAGTGAAGATGCAGCCCTGGGAAATTTGGAAAGTCAACAGGCCATTGTGAAACTGTTGGTCTTAGAAGTGTATAAGCTTGCTGTTTCTTTGATGAAAAATATACACTTCTATCATAGACTCAAGAAGTGATAAAGGACAATAGTTCTTTAATAGCCATGTATGCAACTTCTTAACTAAGTGAGGTATTCTATGGGGTTACCTTTTTCAGATCATTGAGTTGCTCTTTAAGCACTAAGACTTTTAAATCATTTTTAAGAAACTCTTTTTAGATTATATTATAAACTCTCCTGCCTTCTTAAACAGAAATTATATATTGAATATAATTTTAACATTTTATTAATGACCTGGGTCATCAGTTAACACTACTGTACAAATTATTGGTTTATCCCAGAAAAGATAACATTTGTTTTATCCTTAGGTAGACAGTCATTTGGGAATCAAAGCATATTAGATAGTAATGCTCAGACCTGTTCAGGGAGTAGGGCTTAGAGAATGCCATGAAATACTTGCATAATTTGATTACATTAAATAAACAATTCACTAATGAAAATATCATATACGTAAAAGCCAGTTTTTTAAAAACAAAAAAATTAAGTAGTGGATATCTTATTAATTTAGTTTGGGGGGTAAAGAAACAAAATCTCATTTTTATTTCAGCTGTTAAACACTATGGTCTGTTGATCCATAGGATCAGGGATTGGGAACCACTCTACTAGGAAATTGAGCAGATCAGTACCATTTGTATAGACAAGGCCTCATTGTATAAGAAAGGAAATGTTATTATGTGTTGTCTTTTTTAAATTGATTGTGGACACTTCTAGAGCAAGGACCATGTCATAGTCATGTTTGCATCCCTGGCACAGTGCATGAGACATCATAAGTACTTAATAAATGTGGTTGAATGGATAATGATTAGTGTTATTTATGGATTAGAAAAGCATGTTTCTATTTAAGTAAGCTATAAAAGTATTATTGAATATTTACTGTAAATATATGTTAACATAAAAAAACTTGGAAAGTCTTTGTATCCCTGGTGTGTTATCATTTTTATGGAAAGAATCCATTTTGGTTTCTATAGAGCAATTAGAAAAATCTTGAAGATTTGAAGAAAGTGTTCTTTCTATGTTGTCACTTTGTTCAACAGTAAAACTTTATTCTCAGTGTTCCAACTCTGCATTGTTTACATTTTTTAGAGTTTTTTTTAATCACCTACAACGTGTAAAGAATGTATATATTCTTTTCAGCATCTCAGTTTGAAAATACATGCAGTTAAACTTGTCCTTTTGATAATCGCTCTTGTAGGTCATTGTCTGTTTTCACAGCAAATTGTAAACATGTGCTTCAGAGATATTGTGGCTCTCAGTCATCATTTTGTCCTGTGGTATTTATTGAATGTTCACATACTAATGGTGCACAGGTATTTTTTTCCATAAATCTTCTGACTGTGTTGTAACTCATTCTTCACCTTGAAGATACCATAGTTGCCGACATTTGATGTTTAGCAATAAAAGAATAAGTGTTTACCAGCATTTTATGTTTATCATCATCTATGTGTTGTCTTTAAAAAAAAAGTACTCTTCTATCAAAATTGTTCTCATTACCTAGAGTAAGATCTTAGTTCTTTTTTTTTTTTTTGAATTGGAGTCTTACTCTGTCACCCAGACTGGAGTGCAGTGGCCGCTCCCGGCCACCGCAGCCTCGACCTGCTGGGCTCCAGTGATCCTTCCGCCTCAGCCTTCCAAGTAACCGGAATTACAGGCATGCGCTACCAAGCCCAGCTGATTTTTTTATTTATTGTAGAGATGAGGTCTCGCTGCCCAGGTGGGTCTCGAACCCGCGGGCTCAGGTAATCCACTCACCTCAGCCTCCCAAAGGTGCGGGATTACAGGCTGAGCCACCGAGCCCGGCTTCTTAGTTCTTTTTAAAGTATTGATTCTAAAAGCAGCCTTAAGTTTTCATTCATATAACCAATCTGTATATGAAAGTTGTTGCAGACCTCGAAAAGTCTTAAACAAGGTTCCTGTGCTCGTGCTACTGTTTTGGAAATGGCCAGTTCATGGATGAAGAAAGAGGTCTACCGTGTTTCCTCTTATTAGTGTCTTACAGAAGTCTTCTGTAAGATAGTCCTTGTTTTTAGGAATTCTTGAGAGTGTTTTAACTGTGACATTTGGTTCTTCTTGACCTTTTGCTCTAATGCTTTTTCCCTTGTTCCCAGCTCAACTTCCTTCCCTATCTCCTCCCTCTCCCCCTCTCTCTCACTCCCTTTCCTCTTCTATTACCCTCTCCCTTTTTCCTTTTCCATCTCCCTCCCTAAGTTACTAAGGGCCAGATATAATAGATTGGGAATTTAGCCCAATTTTTTATTGTTTAGCCTCATTCCACTTCTTGCCTCTGATCCTGTTACAGTTAAGTGCCACAAGACTAGACCACTGACTATCTAATAGAGCCACTTTTTAAAACAGCTTTATTGAGATATAATTAAGTACCATAAAGTTCACCCTTTATGTGTGAACTTTAAAGTGTGCAATTCAATGTAAGCCATTTTTCTTTTAATGTCTGATAAAATAGTATGCACATGCTTTGGTATAATCTAACCTTTTAAGTAAATGCACATGTGATTAAAAAAAAACTGGGAGGAAAAAAATGTGTTTCAGTTATTTCACAACTATTTTAATTCTGGTGTGGTTTTCAGCAATGTAATAGAGTTGAAAAACACATTTATTTGAAAGGTAAAGCATGTTGATACACTTTCTTGGAGACAATGAACCTTTTTAACCAGTGCATTTACAAACTGCTCTCACTGTTCAGGCCATACTAATTTGAATAATCCATTGTATATTTCATCAGACCATAGCATATAAATTCAATGAAAGGAAAGCCTCTGTTTCTGAATTCAGTGCTGTAATAGGTTATATTCAGGGTGGAGGTGGAAAAAAATGGCTAATTACAAAACAGGTTATATTATATAATTTTCCATTAAAGAAAGAAAAAAACACTCTCTAAGTTTTATTTGGCTAAAGATTGATAGAGAGTCAATAATTGTCCTTTCTTATTAGCTGAATGCTTGTCAAACTTTTTTTTTTAAGTTGGAGTCTCACTGTCGCCCAGACTGCTCCCGGCCACTGCAGCCTCAACCTGCTGGGCTCCAGCGATCCTTCCGCCTCAGCCTTCCGAGTTGCTGGAACTACAGGCACACACTACCACACCCGGCTGATTTTTTGATTTATTGTAGAGATGAGGTTTCACCAAGTTGCAGTGGCTGCTCCCGGCCACTGCACTCCAGTCTGGGCGACAGAGTGAGACTCCAACTCAAAAAAAAAAAAGAAATTATTTTCATATAAAGGTCATAGATTACATTATCTATTTCATTTTGTTCCAATTCTATATTTTCCAAGCAAACTCCTGATGATCAACCCTTTTTCCTAGGTATTTCCATGACAGAAAAGAAAAGTGCCCTTAACTGGAGAAGCAACTACTCTGTAAATTGCAAAGTGCTACCTTCCATCATAGATTTCTGGTGATTCATAATGCATAAAAAAAAAAATTAGAAGCCATTAAAGGATGAAAACAAAGTGGTTGAAAGGTAAGAAAAGAATGCTAGGAATATAGTATGAAAGTCACAGACCTGTAAAATAAACTAAGGTATGGTCAAATTGTTTACAAACCCTTCATAAAAATGTGAGTACTGAATGATGAAAATATGGGCAAAATATGTGGATAAATAATCTACCAAAGAACACACATTTTAAAAACGGAAAGTTTAGCCTCTTTTCTAACCAAAACATGCAAATTAAAAAATAAGATGAACACACAAAAAAGAGCTTAGGCAAGCCTGTAATCCCAGTACTTTGGGAGGCCGAAGTGAGAAGATTGCCTGAGCCCACGGGTTTGAGACCAGTCTGGGCAACCTGGTCTCTACAATAAAAAAATAAATAAAAACTTAGCCAGGCGTGGTAGTGCATGCCTGTGGTTCCGGCTGCTTGGAAGACTGAGGTGAAGGATCACTGGAGCCTAGCAGATCGACGCTGGGGTGGCCATGAGTGTGCCACTGCACTCCAGCCTGGGTGACTGAGTGAGACTCTAATTAAAAAAAAAAAAAAAAAAGAGCTTAGGAACGGGCGCGGTGTCTCAAGCCTGCAATCCCAGCACTTTGGGAGGCGGAGGTGAGAGGACTGCCTGGGCAACTTGGGAGACCTCATCTCTACAATAAATCAAAAAATTAGCTGGGCGTGGTGGGTCGTACCTGTAGTTACAGCTACTTGGAAAGCTGAGGTAGAAGGATCGCCAGAGCTCAGCAGGTTGAGGCTGCGGTGGACATGAGCGAACCACTGCACTCCAGCCTGGGTGACAGTGAGACTTCAACTCAAAATAAATAAATAAATAAATAAAAAGAGCTTATTTGAAATACAATATCTCTGTTTCTATCTCTGTGTAATATTTATGCAGAGTAGATAGCTTTCTATTTTCCGATTTGGTATTCTCCATTTGATGCAATACCCATATCAAGATGTTTTCTCCACTGCTCAAAACAGTTTTTGAACTCATCAATTTTGATGCCTTTTAGTGCTTCTGCCACTTTTTTTTTTGAGTTGGA